AAGATAAGGGATTATCCTTGTCTCTTAAAGAGAATCTAGATCCAAATGCAAGATTTGGATTAGGAAACTCGTAATGGGATTAGGATAACCTCTCTTTAAGGCTATAAATAGAGGAGAAGGGCGAACCCCAAATCATCCTTCAGTCTTACTGATTCAAGAGAGAAGGCAGCATACAGTTGGATTGACGCCATCTTCTGCTTTTGCCTTCTCCTGTTATTGGCGCCATTACCAGTTCGATTTCCACCTGTAGGAGCGATCAAGAAAGGGTTCTTGATATCACCTTTTGGTATAAAAGGTGATTTGAAGTCGTGCTCACTCGCCCTCCATCAGATTCTTGATGAAGAATCAGGTTCTTGCTAAAGAGCCATCATACTGATTCTGTTCCACCCTACGCTGTGTCATCTTCAGTGGGAGCAGTCTTTGGTAATCTCCTTGGGCGTGAACACCTTTGTTGGGGGTTACTACTACTCCGTATCAGGTATATCCTTCTCATACCTTTTGGTTTTAGATATGGTCTGGTTTAGGTTCAAGATTGATTATTGAAAATGCAATTTTCTAAAATAAGGAATGTGATTCCCACATGGGAGAGAGAAATTTTTGAAATTTCGCCCAACTTACCTGCAGAGTTCGGCCATTCATAGGATGAATCTCTCATCCCTTTCAGTTAATGCTCCCACATTTTGTGTGCGGTTAACCTTTGCAACGTAGCTACATGTTTTTGTTTGTCAATTCATTATTCTCTAATCACTATGAGGTTATAACTAACTGGTCACATAAACCCCATTTACTATATCGATATCCTCTCAAAAGCATTGGAGGTGAATCCATGCAAGATGAATTAGATCAAGTGGAAAGGGGATATGGATTTTTTTTTTGTCAAATTTTGCACCCGCTAATCTAACTTTGTGAGTATCATATGTGCGTATCCATTCGTGGGGTTGTGGCGAACAGGTCACATAAACATTCTTTACCATCTCGATATCCTATCGGAAGCATTGGAAATGAATCAATGCTATAGGAGAGGATTAAGTTAAATTAGATGTATATAAAGTTCTATACGGGAATCTGATTATGTGAATGTTGTTTGCTACCATCATTGCTTCTATCATCACGAGATTGTGGCAATTTGATCAAGTAAACCCTACACACCATTTTGCTTTCCTCTCTGAAACAATGGAGTTGAATCCATGCCATAGGGGATGATTAAGTGGAAGGGGAAATGGATTTACATAAAATTATAATTGGGAATCTGATTCCATGATTGTCATTTGCCACCGTTCGTGCTATAGTCGACTTGTGTTTCTACTTACAGGGTGGACTAAGTCTTACATTGCCGACTTTAGCCCCACTAAGGGGGTAAGTTGAAAGTTGGGGTCACCTATGGCTTTATTAAACCCGTGTTCTGTTACACCCAATGACATCAATTCAACTTATTCTTGTTTGCTATGTGAGCACGATTTGAGGTACTTTGTGGTCCACCCACTCAAATATAGCGGCATCAATTAACCTTGTCATCATCCACAAGATCAATGACAACAGCAAACACATATGACATATTGCTATGTTTCGAGGGCAGGGTTAATGTTATTCAGTTATTGGCCCAAATGGCTCCCTCATCCACTATCCAGACATTAGAAGAGTATGCATTTGCAAAAGCCCATGCAATATATGTCTCATTTCCCTAATCTCATATTCATAAATAAAACTGAACTCCACTTCTAACTATATCATCTATTAACCCTTTTATCATACTTACAAGGTGCTAAACGAAAAAATATGAATTAGAGACACACATAAATGTGAGATTGTTAATAGAAAACGCTTCTAAAAGTAAGTATGAAGCAAAGTAGGTAGTTACCACCACCCACTGAAATGTTACAACTATAGGATGTTTGCAGAATAATTAGATTTTATGTTCAACTAAAATTGTTAATCCACCAAGTTGATCTTACTCATCTAACATTGAAAACTGAATAATGGATTATTAATCATATATTTGTTTCCCACAACAAGAAAATGAATAAAACAAAATACAAAATGCATTACCTACATGTCAATCGAAAGCTTACTACATGTTAAAAAAAAAAAAGAACATAAACCCTGCATAAATAATTGGTTATGCATCGATCATATATGTATTATGATTCACCTTCTAAAAACATGATCATTCATTGTTGACTCTTAAACATACAAAATAAATAAATAAATACAATAACATAAGAAATAACTATAAACATAATTGTCTTCATCTCTTCCGGTAATAGGTTTTGAGATAACACCATGGACCCCATTTGCTTGCGACACTCAAACACCACTCTCTCCAGCTTAAGAACACATTCACCAATATATATGCTAATGTTCATCAAACAAGTAACTTCATATGTATAGTCAATGTTGCACCAACTATAGATATGCTATTTTATTTAACTTAGGTTCAACTATTTAGGATTTGGCAGGTTCCTTTATTCACATTCAAAGAAAAAAATGTCAATACGAATATTGAAACTTTGAATATTTAAGCGATGAGTTACATTGGGTGACAATGTTAGTTACAACAAGATTGTCGGCGCATGTGTGAAAGGTCCTATTGGGATTCCACGATCTTGTGAACACATAAATAATATATTTCCTAAAACACTTGCAATACTTCACATCACACTTCAATTGATTGTGGGGAGAGCAACCTCCTATTGGTTGATAACTCATAGCTATAACACAAACAACATGTTACTTAACTATAATTTACATACTATTAAAAATATTTCAATGTATAGTCCACTTTGGAACGGTGTCATGTAAATCGCATACTTGAAAATAGAGATTTAAAATGCATGAATAACTTTCTGCCATATAACTTAAGCCGTGTAACATTTTCCCACCATGAACATATCACAAAAATACCCACATGTAAATCAATCAACCACGCGTTAGATACTATAAACAAAAAAATATTCAAAATAAATTCACACTAATAAGTATAACCATGAAGCATAACAACCGGACTACACTAACATGTACATAATAAACATTGCTATACAAGGTACAAATAAAATTCCAATACCATCACACAAGAATATAAGTTCAATTATAAATATGGTTTTTGTTGTTGGACAAACTCATATTATGTGTAAGGCATGCAAAAGTTCCAAACAGTTTAGTGATAATGATATAACTTGGCTTAAATTTAATAATTCATGTGCGAGGGTCACATGGTCAATGAAAATTTTAGATTTCATTATAATTCTTGCCATTTGAGCCACTTAGATTAGTCACTAAAACTACTATAGACATTTTTGCCTATCCGACATTAGTTTCCTGGGACAAGAATTCAATAGAAGAAACAGAGATGAACAATATATACTGGCACTAGGTGAATACCACTTGGTTGAACAACGAATTCATTTCATTGATGACTATATGTACAATCAGTGCCAAAAACCGAACGTTGAACATATATTCAAATCCACCTATTATTTAAATGAATTCGACATAAATCCTATGTGGCAAAATTTTAAAATACATCGATGTTGAGTTACAAAGCTCACACTTACACGTTCGTTGTCTGACTAGGGGTCGAGCGTAGAAGACACAACAAAGAAAGGAAGGAAGGGATATATCTCTGTTTCCGTCGATGTGCATTGATGAAGAGGATAAAGTGCGCTGTAGACGCTATATTTCAAGCATTTTGATGAAGGTGAAAATGAAGATGTGAGTCAATGGGAGGAAGGGTAGATATCTCTGCTTCCATCGGTGTGCGCATGTGAAGAGGATCAAAGGCACTACGCTGTAGATTTTCCAACGAATGCTTTCAAGTTGTTGAAAGGAGGTGAAAACGAAGATGAATGTGAACAATGGAATAGAAAAAGGAAATTATTGCCTGCATTTGAAAGGGGCATTTTGGGTATTTTAGAATGTGGGGTGAGGTGGCATTTCTCAATGGACATTTTAGGTATTTCAAAAAAATATGAATGGCGTGGCATTTCTGTAGGTGGACCAATGGAGTGAATTGAGTTTTAATATCTCCGTCCATGCAATGGGGATATTTCAATTCTCATACACCACTTTCAATAAATATTTTTGTAGAGACTTTGTGCCTAATTTCGCTTTTTTTTTTTTTTTTTTTTCTATTCATGGGGCTACACAAACAGGTAGGCTAATTTTATTCGAGTCTCCACTGAAACCATCCAAAACCTCTATACACGCTTTCTAAAGGTTTCCTTACATTTTTCCTAGTTTTTCCTTTAAACCAAACACAGCATTTAGTGTGATCATCCAAGATGCCGTGCGGCCTGGCCAATGGAAGTTGTTTTTGTTTTTAGCTTCGTTTTGGTTTTGCTTCACTTAAAGAGGCTCCAGAGTTCATTGAGCAATTCCTTGAAGTGGGCCAACAGGCTAATAAAAAATCTAATTGGGAGGAGGTCTGCACTTACAGCTTTTGATGATCGAATTTTGACGTAAAAAGTGTGAACAGGGTTGGCAACTTTTTACACCTTTACAATTGGGGTAGTGTTTGGTGCCTGTTTTAAGCTTAAACACTGTGTTTCAAGCTAGAAAAATTTGGAAATGTTTTGCCCTAAAACATGAAGCAGGTCAAGCGCGAGAAATCCAATACAAACTGTTATTCAAGCATCCAAAACTCGTTGATTTAAGCATACCTGCGATTCAAGCATCCAAATCTCCTTGCGCGAGAAATCCAATACAAACTGTGTTGTTTCTATTTTAAGTCAAAACGGGAATGCAACACAATGGAACCAACAACCGTTTGTATTTTGTGCCGGTGCGTAGTAGGACTGTAGGAGGTCAAGCGCTGTTTTGTATTTTGTACGTGTAGACGCGAAAGTATCGAGATCCAGTCTTGGAGTAGACCAGTCGCTGCTGGTCTCTGCTCGTAATTATGGGCCAACCGTGACACACCACGTCAGATCCATACACGTGGGAAGGACTGCATAATTTAGCCACGTCATCATTCCACTTTGATAAAGGAAAGGATCGCCCCGAAGGGGGTTTTGGACGTTCCGCCTAGAAGAGCCTTTGATCTATCCCAGATATCTTTTCTATTGCTACCGTTCCAAGGCCAAAAGGGCAAACCCTGAATCCGGACCCAATCAAGGCGTTGGAAATTGAAACACTCGCATCTCTCGTTTTCCTTTACCATCCCCAACTCTCTCTGTCTCTCTCCTCCTTTCTGTACAAATAAGAAATCTGGAATGACTCTACGATTTTTTTTGGTTGCGATTAATCTTTCTTTTTTATTTCCGTTCTTGTAATACTGTATTCAATTTAGAAAATAATAATAACGATTCCTTTGTTTGCATTCGTTCTTCTCTTGTCTATCGTGATTGGGAGTAGTTCTCTCTCTTCTTTTATTTTTTCTGTTTTCTTTTTCTTTTCTGTTCGTCATCGGATCTCGAATCAGCGGCGAAAAAGAGTAGATATTCTTTTTGAGGTCAAAAGCAAGTGCGTGCCCGGGCTTTTTGAAGGTAAGAACTAAGAATTATTTGCACATCTAGCAAGTGAATGGGTCTAGGGTTCTGTTTATATTTCTACAATTTAGTAAAGTCTTGGTAATTTCAATGAGGACGTCACAACATTTTGATTGGTTTCTTTTTATTATTTCGTTTTAATTTATTTTTGAAAATGGATTAGATTATATGTATTTTTGGCTTATTGTTGGTCGAACTTTTGTTTTTATTGTCTTACAGTTCACGTGTGAAGAATTGACTGGTTTTTGATGAATTAGGATGTACATGAAATGATGAACCAAGGAAGCAGTACTGATACAGTAGCTCAACTGGATCCAAATCTGCTTGAGGTAATTGCTTTGCCGATTGCATTCCTCTGCTAATTTTAAAGTTTATGTTTCTGAATGCAAAAATAGTCTATTGTATTGTACTTAATTTGATTACTGTGAGTTGAAGCTTGAAGTTTAATAGGTTTGATACATCAGTATTTTGCTAAGTGGCATTAAATATGATTTCTTGTTACGGACATGGAATTGAACTTTTTATTTTAGTTGGTACATATCATAACTTTTGTTACTTCAGTGTTGAAGTGGTATAAATTATTCTTTTGGACCTCTCTTCTCTTGGAAAGGTTAAACCAGGATTTTTGATAACAATTGAGTTCTAAAACGTATCATCGAAACCAAATATATTGTCTCAATTTTTCTGATGTATCTTGTGCAATTCCTTTGAGACATATGCCAGTTGGTGGAGTTATGGTGAATTTGAAACAACAGTATTGTCTCAATTTCTTTGAAATGTACCATAGGATTCAAGGTTGTTTTTATATTTTGGGCCAATTGGCTCATACTTTTCCTACCACTGGAAAAGCGAGGATTTGAAATCTTTGTACACATACATTTAGGCTGTCTTTAGTTGGGAAATGAGTGAGAAAAGAGAAGTTGTGGGTAAAATCCATTAGGTATTTCTAAACTCTGTGGTGGTTACATATTAACTGTATTTGCTTACATTGCATTATATGAGCGGTAGGTTCTATTTTATGCCTGTGAAATGTATTGCAAGGTAATAATTGTAAGCCTGTTTATGTACTGTTCAATGTAAGGGTTATTAACATAATGCCCCACCGTTTGGTTGCTTCCTTGAACAGCCACGTCAAACTGTGGATAGCAGTGAAGGACATCCATCTTCATATGGATCTTCATTCACTCTTGGGCATGCCCCTCTGCCCTTGGCAGAAGGATCCAATACTGTATCATGGACCATGCATATGACAGATAACAACTCATCAGAGAATGGAATTTATTCAAATACGACTTACCGCCATGATCAGCAGGCAGAGACACTACCAAAGAACGTGCAAGATGGCTTGAATTCTGTGCCGCATGCTTCTACTTCATCTAGTTTTGGAACAGCAAATGTCTCCCAAGAATATGCTAGCTATTTGTCATACCCAAATTCAACTGACCCTTATGGTTATGGAAACACGGGCTATGCAAGTTATTATTACAACTATTCACAGCAAACCAACCATCCGTACCCTCAACAACCAGGAGTGTATCAAAACTCAGGTGCTCCTTATCAGCCTCTTACCTCATTTCAGAATACAGGCTCTTATGCGGGTTCTACAAGTTATTCAGGAACTTACTACAATGCTGGTGATTATCAGACAGCTGGAGGTTACCCGAGCAGCGATTATAGTAATCAGAATAACTTGTGGAATGAAGGGAACTATGCAAGTTATTCCTCCCATCAGTATCCAAACTATACTCCTTCAGATTCAAATGGTGCTCATAATTCTAGTGCTGTAGCTGCAACACCACTTCATTATCAACAAAACTATAAGCAGTGGGCAGATTATTATAGCCAAATTGATGTAAGCTGTGCTCCTGGGACAGAGAATATGTCTGTTTCCAGTGCAACTACTTTGGCTTGTCCGATTCCTGGTGTTAGTGCTGGATATCCAACTCCAAACAACCAGCCACCACCACCTGGCACCACATCCTGGAGACCAGAATCTGGTTCATCTGAATTGCCTTCTTTTCAGGTCTGTGGATTTCCATATTTGTCTGCATTTTAGCAACCCAGTAAGTTGGCACACCCTTGTGCAGATGCATATGCTAAATGGGTAGAGTAGATTGGGCATGGTTCCTGTGTAATTTGGAAATGCAAAATGTTCATACAAGGAATTCATGCATTCTTCCCTTGCTTTAAGTTATCCTTAGCTTTTCTTACCTAATTGTGTATACTGATTTCTTACTAATTTGTCTCATGGTTCTCCTTTGTTGTTTGTTTTTAAGCTTTATGGCTTTATTGACTAGTGTTATTGCTTTTGACATGCTTTAATCTTTTACTTATATTATAGTCACAATAATTTGTATGCCCTATTTGAATATCGTGATTCAATTTGTAGCTTTTGACAGATTACTGTTTCCTAGGAAAGGTGTCTGCTTTTCACACACTCAACTCAGCAAACTTTTCCCAACTAATTGGTATTTTTTTATCAGAAACAGTGAGTTATATTAAGATAAAATACAGGGAGATCATAATATGCCAAGCATCCCAAATCAATGGGTAATGGCCCCAGTAAGAAAACAATATTTTACAAAGCCACCCAAAAGTAGTCAGTATTGGCTATATGAATCCTGTTTAGTCATTGCACTCCATCAAGGGCCATGTCTTCTGCCAAATCATAGGTCCTTAGGTTATTTCCTATTACTCAATTCCACATTTTCTTTGGTCTTCCCTTTACTCTTTTAGAATCTTCTAGTTGCAATGCCAGCCCCACTGGTACAGCTAAAATATTAGAAATTAACAAAAGAAATAGAGTGTTCTTATTCGAACCGCCTCGTGATCTTCCACCAATCATGCGCTTCAATATAATTACCTGGAGTAAGCACTATAGCTTGTTTCCAATACTCAGCAGCTTGATCGGRCCAAGCCTCCGCAATTTCAGAATCTCCCTGTTGAATGGCCCATTAATTGTCTTTGAACACGACCAAACTATCTCAGATGACTTTCTCTCATTTTGTCATTTATAACCTATTGGGGCTACTCTCAACTCTCAAGTGGTTCCTAATTCACTTGTTCTTAATTCTATCTTCCTAGAGTCTTGCCACTCATGACCATCTATGGGTGTACTTTCCTCCATTGCCAAGTCAGTTATCAGATATGAGCATACTTTTTTATTTTTTGATCAGCGGCTTCCCTGGATCTTTGCATGAGACATTGCCTATCTGGTTTGTTAAGAAAGTTAGCCTGCAATCCATCCCTTCAACATTGATTTGGACAGTGTGTAACCAACTGAATTTGAGGTTTTTTGATAACAAAGATACCCAAGATGATGAGATCCTAAGGAGGAAAGATGGTTTGCTACATTCTTGGCTTTCGGTGATTTGAAGCTTTTTAGGGATGCCTCTTGGTTCTCTTTCTTTTCTGTGGATACTCTGTCTAGAAGTGATATTTGCGTAATGTGAGGTTCATGGTTGGTACCTTGTACAGCCACTCATTGTATATGAATTTGTTGATACTTTTTAATACTTTTTATGATGACTGATACTATTTATATACTTCTTAAGTGCACCTTGCACCTTTTAACAAAATGTCTTACTTTTCTTCCAAAAAAGGCGTTGTTTACATCAAATTATACTGGTTTTGTTTCTTTATCGAATTAATACAACTTGATGTCTGGTTTTGTTTTACACCAAATGTTTTAGCGTGGAGGAACTTTCATCTTATTTTTTGAGAATACTTTTTTGGGGGGGTCCTTAGAGAATGTATATGATGTACAGAAACTCTTTGTACAGAGGACCATGTACATCTTTTGTTATTATATATTAATACTTTACCTTCTTCATAAAAAAACCTTGATGTATGAACAGCAAAAAGAAATTCTTATTGGCCGATTAAATATTGTAATAATTAATATAAGAGTTTAGGGGCCATTTCTTGGTGCAATGGTAAAATCCTCGGCTGGCATTTGTGATAACATGGGTTTGAGTCTGTTTGCAGCCACTTTGTGCAGAAAATGCCAAAGGTTAGGCACGTATCCAGTCCACTCCTCCCAAGATCCTGGACAACCAGGATCAGCATTGGGTGATGGCCCTTTTTTATTATTGTAGGAATCATCAAAATCTTGTCATTGCTGGTGGAGTGTCATCTGCCATGCTGTTGAATGTCATATCTCTGTATTGAACTGAACACTTCAGAATTGCTGGATCTTTATTGGCAGGCTGGTGCTGTAGTTGGAAATACCCAGGATGGTTACTGGAAACATGGCACTTCGGTGTTTCAGAATCACCATGCCACTCCAACTCCATACTTCCAAAAGCCTTTGGACTCCAATCCACTTCCATATGATGACCGTCAGGACCAACAGAAGACTGCCTGTCCTCCAGGACCTAATGTACAATATTCCACTACTCATCAGGTTCCTCAAAAGTATCAGTCACCGATGCAAGCTGTTCCATCCTTGGATGCACGGCGGGTAAGCAAATTGCAGATCCCAACGAACCCTAGAATTGCTTCAAATTTGGCCTTGGGCTTGCCAAGAACAGATAAGGATAGTTCTACAACCAATGCAGCAGCAAAACCGGCATATATCAGCATTTCAATGCCGAAGCATAATAACAAAGTGCCCTCTAATGAAGTTGCTGATTCTGTGCTTAAGGTGAGTCTTCTTCTTTTTCCTCTTCTCAGCCTCTGTGCAAGTTGTGGGCTCCTTAATGGATGAGACTAGTTGGATAGATTACTATACCCTTCAATAAGCAATAAGTCTTTCAGTTCAGCAGCTTCATCTGTTACCAAACAGGTCCTTAATGTAATTCTAATGCTTGTATGTGCTTAGCTTTCTTGTGTTGACATGATTCAGTTACTGATCCAGGTGCTTGTGATGGCATTAAACTTGTAAACAACCTCTTCCCTTGATTGGTTGGGCCTTCCCTTTGTTGTATTCTGCTCCTTTTTTTTGTTTCAATAAAATTAATTTGTTATCAGATAAAAGTATACAACAGAACTGGATAATTTGTTATCTGTAAAATATGGTATTACAGAGACAAAAATACAGCAAGATATAGTGCTGCAGCAAGACTAGAACAAGAGAGAAAGAGAGGAGAGAAGAGAGAACCACTGAATTGTGTTTGAGAGAGATCAGAATGACTTAATCTCCTCATAACAGTCGGCCCAGTTTTATATTAACATTAAATGAAGGAAAAATTACAAGTATGCCCTTAATTATAAAAATGACAGTGGGCTGGTGTGTCCTTATTCTAAACACATAATTACTTAATTACCCTGTCACCCAAGTACACCCAATATAATAATCTTTCAACATTATCAACTAAAAGTTGTCAAATAAAATTAATTTTGTTCTTTTTTTTGATGAATAATTTTGTTCTTTATTTACCTTAAAAAAAGTATACAACAGAGTTTTGTAGTTTGTATTGTTCAACAGAATTTTGTCCCAACTATTTGGAGTTTGCTACATGAGAACTGGCTTGCCATTGTAATCTTGAGGGGCCATATCTTCTGTTAAATTATTACTCCTTGGTTCATTTCCACTATCTCATGCCCTTTTTGAACTTTCTTTAGAACCCTTCCAACTCAGCAACAGATCATGCACATGCTCAATTTATGTGTGTTAAGTCAGCAATATAGTATTCAACAAGCAAGTGGGCTGGACCAATGCTTCCTCGATTTTAGGAAACCAAGATTTGATTGCAAAGAAACCACAAATGAACCCAATGTTTCATTGGGCAATGGTTGTATTCGGAAATGATTGTGTAACACATTTCCATACACTATTGATATTATCTTTGTAAAAGGGAGAAAAAACGTTTGAAGTTTTCTTTTCCCCACCATTGCTCCACTTTCACCATGATGTCCTAAACATCTTTCGTTCCTACTTTTCATATCTTAATGGATTTGATAATCTTGGATGCATAGGTTACTTGGGTTCTGTACCTTGTAACAGTATTAGTGTCCATAAACATGACCTAAAGTTTGATTTTGGGACTTTAGAGATTTTAAGGGGCAATTGCTTAGTGCAATTGTAAAATCTCGTGTTGACAACTGGGGGAACATGTGTTTGAGTCTGAGAGTGGTCATTTTATGTAAAAACTTTGGAAGTTTGGTCCACATCCAGTACACCCTTTGCAAGACCCTGCTAGCTTGGACCAGCATTGGTTAGTAACTTACAAGGTTTTGACTCTACATATTTGTATTTCTACTCCTTCCAAACTGAGCCTTGTATATTTTTTTCTTTCTCCAGATCAATATTATGTCTTGATTGGCTCCTTGAGAAATGATCTTTTCTTGCATTTTATTTTTGGATGCAGCCTGGAATGTTCCCTACATCACTTCGTGCATATGTAGAAAGGGCTTTGGCCCGTTGCAAGGATGATTCACAAAAGGCAGCTTGTCAGAATATAATGAAAGAGGTGAGGCCACAATATCTCATTTGTTTTACTTTGTATTTTGGATGCAATAAGAATATCCTATTTTCATTTGTCTTGTGTGTCTTGCTTTCCTTTCTTTGACCTTATGTTACCTGCATCCAGGTCCCTATTCATTTCTCTTTCTGTCCTCATCTTGTTTTAAAGTTGCCATTGGTACTAATCTGGCCTTTTTAACCAGCCCATCATCACTTTGTAGTCTCTTTCACTATCAAATTTCTAAACCTGAAAGACCTTGCTAACCTTAAACCTTGAAATACTGCCATGAATTCTGCTCATATGGAATTACCCTAACCTATGGGTCTGAAGATAGAGCTATGATAGTCACTCTATTGTCTCTAGAAGTGCCTCCTATACCAGGCGGGTCTGGATTACCCATGCTGCATCCGTAAACATTCAACTTAACTAGATGAGAGCGGTGGTATGCATTGTGTGTGGATCAGAGATCTAGCAAATATGAGGCTATATCCAATGCTATCCTCTAATGATGTCCTCCCTAGTGAAAGGAGTGAAATAACTTTACTGTTTTGAGCCAATGGCCCACCTTGAAAGTAATGCCTTCAAGTATTGTGCTTCTGTGCTGCAAATATGAGGCTATATCCAGTGCTATCCTCTAATGATGTCCTCCCTAGTGAAAGGAGTGAAATAACTTTACTGTTTTGAGCCAATGGCCCACCTTGAAAGTAATGCCTTCAAGTATTGTGCTTCTGTGCTGCAAATATGAGGCTATATCCAGTGCTATCCTCTAATGATGTCCTCCCTAGTGAAAGGAGTGAAATAACTTTACTGTTTTGAGCCAATGGCCCACCTTGAAAGTAATGCCTTCAAGTATTGTGCTTCTGTGCTGCAACTTGTCATTCAAAGTATTTTTTTTTTCATTTCTCTCCTCCCATATCTTTCAATGTATAACTGTCCTTGAGCTTCTCCACACTATCTTGCCTTTTTCCTTGGTGACTTAAAGAAAGATTTGAAAAAAAGACTTTCCAAAACAAATGGAGGAATTCGCCTGCACCCAAAGAGATTCCAGCCGCAAGAGATTAGTAAGTGGTAAGCAGTTTCTCCACTTGCATTGCAAAGAAAGCAGATGTGTAGGGATAAACATCAGTTAGTCCTTTTTCTCTGGAGCCAATCCCAAATTTTAATTTTCAAGTGATAAACCTCCCAACAGAAGGCCCTCACTTTTGATGGCACCGGTTGACTTTGAATTGATTTGACTGGGAAAGTCTTCGGGGATTAGAGAAGACAAGAGAAAAGTGTAAACAAAGTACAAATTGAAGTTTCTGGTAGGATTGGGGGTCTAGGTTCTATAATTGACTTTACTTGGATCAAGAAAACCCTGTTCTAAGGAATTTACTTGACTCAAGGCAAAAGATCTTCCGAAGTTGAGGGTTTAGTTTAAAGTTTTAGAGTCTGTGCTTTTTGCTTTTCCTAGTTCTAGTAGGATTGGCAACCTCTGTACATATGTACGTGCAAAGTGCAAAAGTATGGAGGAACAAGTAGGATTTATTTCAGTTCTTATAGCTTATGCTAAGTGAGTGATCTCATGCCTTAGAGTGTCTCTGGCATGTATTAATCACCTTCATTACTATTCTTACTCTCCTCTACTTTATTTTAGCATAGAGTCTTCCATCTATAGAATCTGTTGGTTCAACATATGAGATTGTTGAGATGTTTCTTGTCATTTATTAATGTGGTATCAGTGCTATGAGAATTTGTAATTGTGATTTTATATTGCAGTGCATCTTAAGTTCATCTTTTTTCTTTTCTCCATTTCAGATGATTACTAAGGCATCTGCTGATGGGACACTTTTCACACGAGACTGGGACACAGAACCTCTTTTTCCATTACCAAACATGGATGCAGTTAATAAGGAGTATGTTTACTCTTACCTGATCTTCCAAATGGGATAGTTCAATGATGCAATCTATTTATTTATCAAAAAAAAAAATGATGCAATCTATTTAACTATTGTTGCCATTACTCCCCCTTTTCTTTAATTGATTAGAAAGTTCAAGTTTTCCAAGTTGGTGCTAATGCCAGAGATGGTTACAGAGAACTTTGGTACTTGTGTGCTTTCCTGGTTCTCCAACTATATTTAAAAGTTCTATAGTTGGGACCTATTCTATTTGTCAGGTTTCTTGAAATTGATCTTGCTCGGGGAAAAGTACAGTGTAGACCAACTTTTCAAGGTTAACTGGGAAAGTTAACTTGCAATATGCTAAGACATGTCAGAACATACAGTCAACTCCAGTTTGGTATAAAATGGTAAATGCAGAGCTCTCTTTACATTGTGTAATATGCCTATTAACAGCTGAGATAAACAAATTGCCAAGCTTCCCAGTCTCCAGTCTGATTGAACGTGAATGTGAACAGACCATGTGAAACTCCAAAATGCTGACACCAGAGCTCTGGATATCTCCTTCATATTCTTCATAGATGCTGTTTTTTGAACTCACTAGTGATTCATTCTGGTTTTATGTAACTGATGGTTCCTACAGAGCAATGCTCCAGCTGACCCTAAAACCTGCGAACCTGACTTTCTGGGAGAGTTGATGAGGAAGTTCAAAGGCTTGATATTGTGGTGCACGGTGTTGTGAAGGTTAAGTCAGCAAGGCTATGGATGATCCAGTTGGCAAGATTAACGAGAGATGGTTTGTGGAGGATGTGGGTCCCTTTAAGAGATTCACCATCCACATATGCCAAGATCTGGTTCTTACCAGTGAAATTGAACATGCCATAACACTTGAGGGAGACTTTGGGGTTGCCAACCTGCTGATATGATATAGTTAGAAATTTGAAGACTTTGTACCATTTTGTCCCCAGTAGGAATTAGGTTTGAAAACAGGGGATGCCCTAGCATTTTGCAAATTGGTTCTCTGGAGATAAATTTGACTTCAAAAGTTGGTCTACAAAATACTTTCCTCCCTTTCTTTTTCTGCACCAAGGGAAAGTCTCTGTGTACTCTGAAAGTCTTTAAGAACAAATATGTACAAATGCTTGGCCTAAACTAGTCATGCAGAAAACTAATATGAATGCCTAATTGGTTTGTATGCTGTTTTGCAGCAGCATACAGAGTTCCACCATTGCGCCATCGTTGCCGAAGTTCAAGAGGAGTCCAAGTAGACGTACCAAGAGTAGGTGGGAGCCTGTACCAGAAGAGAAGCCAGTTGAGAAACTGGCATCAGTTAATTATGTTGCTATGAAAGATGTCAATTGGGATAAATTCAAGGAAAAGGATGGAACGGTAAGCTTTTCAGTCTTTCTTATGAAATTTCAAAGATGGTATAGCGTTAATATTTAGGACTGTCAGTGAGTTGGGCATGAGCCTGATTGTGCAGAACAAATGTAATCTGGAGATAACAGGTCCAGAACCAGTTACTGACTTATTGGAATTGGAACTTGTCCCAGACCTTTTTTGCTATGATTATGAAATTTCCAGTTATATTTGGATCCTTGTTGGTCTGGGTCAATCTAGGCCCTGCACCAATCCAGTTATTATTTTGATCTAAAAAAATGGGCCTGTAACCGGCTTATTGGAACTGGAACTTTCCCCAGATCTTTGTAGATCAGATTGGGTCGACTAGGTCAAAACAGCCCCTTGACGGGCTGGGGCAGACCCTGAGGGGCTGAGGGCCACATAATTTTTAAAAACAGTCATATGGAAATAGAACTTTACAAAGTGACTCTTGGAAGATAAGTGTGTTTGTCTTCCTCCAGTAAATTTTCTACTGATGATTAATGAAAGTGTTATTGATAAAAAAAAAAAAATAGAACTTTACAAAGATCATATGGTTTTCTGTGCACTGGGGCCCCCGTGGGAAAATTTCTGGGTCTGCCTCTGAAGGCATGCCCATTAATGTTGGAGATGACATGATTCTTTGTTTCTTTCAGGGGAATTGTTTTACCAGGAAGGTTTTGCTGCATTCTTTACCTACTTACCTATTTTTCAGTAGTTTGTGAGAAGTAATAAATACCTGCATTATATACTCAATCTGCTTTGCTCTAAATGAAACCTTTGCAGATTTCAAGTGGAAAATGTGAAAGCAAGGAAAATAATTGGAGCGGTGTGAAATTCCTTCCACAACAGCAGACTCCAAGTAAAAGTTCCCCGAGGCCAGTGAAAAAGCAGCGGCTTAGTGATAATTCCAATCTTGCTGAAAATGGTGGTACTTCTAGTGATAGTGACAAGGAACAGAGTTTAACAGCGTACTACTCAAGTGCTATAGCACTTGCAGATTCACCTGAAGAAAGGAAAAGACGTGAAAATCGTTCTAAGCGTTTTGAGAAAGTCCATGGTCACCGGGCAGAAACCAAGAACCTAAGAACAAAAGATGTTGGAGCTGGAAATTTGTACACCAGAAGGCTTACTGCTCTGGAACGTGGCAAAAATTATGAGGATAGTGGCAACAGGGCTGTGGAAGATATTGACTGGGATGCCCTTACTGTCAAAGGAACCTGCCAGGAAATTGAGAAACGCTACTTGCGCCTTACTTCTGCACCTGATCTTGCCACTGTAAATACATCCAGTTCCATTAAATTTAGGACTGTTTTCTCTTCCATGTTTAACATACCTGAACTTCTTTGTGAAATGAAATTTTTTGATTTTTTACAGGTGAGACCAGAAGAAGTGCTGGAAAAAGCTCTCCTAATGGTTCAAAGCTCACAAAAAAATTACCTGTACAAATGTGATCAGTTGAAATCCATTCGTCAGGATCTGACTGTACAAAGGATACGTAATGAACTAACAGTCAAGGTACTGGTATCTATTACATCTACATTAGTTATATTTCATTATGAGCTTTTGTTTCATAATTAATGCCTTGAAAACAACTATGTTCTTCGAATTTTATCAGTTTAAGCACACTTTAGAGTTTCTTTCTTCTTCTGTCACCTTATGAGTTCTGTTACTCTTATGTTCTTTTCTTCTCCAAAAAATAGGGAAAGAAGGAACTCTTGTCTATCCTTAAAAATCCTTGCTGAAAATGATGCCTATTTCTAACGATATTCTTTTGCTTTGAGAAATATTCTTCTTGGAAATATCTATATTGTTTTAGTTTTTTCTTGTTTTAGGTCTATGAAACTCATGCACGATTAGCACTGGAAGCTGGGGATTTGCCCGAGTATAATCAGGTCAGTATAAATACCTCTATTGGAAATTACTTTAGTCTTGAGATATTTCTTTGTGTGTAAGCTTGCTACCGTTCAAATTTTTCTTGTGGCTATTACTGGTTACCTGTAATGAATATTTGTGTTGAAGTTCGACCTGCCCTAGAATTCTGTCTTGTTCGTTGACTGTAAAGTAAAGTGAACAGCAAGAAGTAGAAGTAGGAGAGGAAAGAAGAAGAGAGAAAAGAGAGAAGGTCTGGTTTGAATTAGAGGAAAAAGTTATCCCTAGATTCG